TTGAATTATTATTCGTTAGCTAAGACTCGAACTCTTGATCAGGAACCAAAGTCACCAGCTGATATTCCATGGTGGAATTTCGATGGTTCATCAACTGGACAAGCTGAAGGTTCAAATTCCGATATCTATCTCAAACCGGTGTCGATCTTCAACGATCCATTTATGCTCGGTAAAAACAAACTTGTCATGTGTGAAACATATAAGTACAATAAAGAACCAACTGGTAAAACAATGAAATCTATTTTGTGTCTCATTTCATTTCATTTCATTTCATCTTCTTGTTAAGCAACGAATAAACGAGCTTCATGTGCAGAAGCAATGAAAGCAGTAGCTGATCAACAACCTTGGTTTGGCATTGAACAAGAGTATACACTTCTCGATCGTGATGGATGGCCATTTGGTTGGCCAAAAGGTGGATTTCCACACCCACAAGGTCCGTTAAAACCGAAAGATGCACACATACAATACACATGATTCTGTTCATTTTTTTAGGACCCTACTATTGTGGTGTAGGCGCGTGTGAAGCACTTGGCCGTGATATCGTAGAAGCTCATTACAAAGCCTGTTTATATGCTGGTGTCAACATCAGTGGTACTAATGCTGAAGTCATGCCAGCTCAATGGGAATATCAAGTTGGTCCAAGTGTAGGCATTGATGCTGGTGATCAACTCTGGATATCTCGTTATTTATTATTACGTATTGCTGAAGAATTTGGTGTCCAAGTTAGTTTCAATCCAAAACCTATTCCAGGTGATTGGAATGGTGCTGGATGTCATACAAATTTTTCAACGTTAGCTATGCGTGAACCTAATGGAATTCAGTGAGTAGTTCAAATGTAGATTTCCACATGAATGTAGAATCATTTAATTATTTTTAGAGCTATTGATGAAGCTATATCAAAACTTAAACTTCGTCACAAGACACATATCGGTGTATATGGTAAAGGAAATGAACGTCGATTGACTGGAAGACATGAAACAGCAAATGTAAGTTTAAAAGAGCGACATTTATCTTTCTTTCTCCAAGATATATCTGAATCGAAATAATTCTATTGTTTAGATCAATCAATTCAATGCCGGTATTGCAAATCGTGGTGCATCCATTCGAATTCCTCGTCAAGTTGGCGAAGATAAATGTGGTTATTTGGAAGATCGTCGTCCCGCATCGAACTGTGACCCATATGCTGTGACAGATATCATTGTACGAACTGTATGTCTTAATGAAAAAGATACTG